TCGTTGCCCTCGGTTTGGTTTCTTGCCTAATATTTTTAGCTTTTTTTTGTCCTTTTTTCTTTTTAGTTTTTTTTTTAAATTTTGCTTTTTTCATTTTTTTCTTTTCCTGCCTTTTTTTTATTACATCTCTTAACCTTTAATTTTTATAAACTTTTAAATATATCCCCTATAAATACTTTTTTATGGTTATTTAAAATATATTTTTTAATTACTTTGTTAAATTAATTTTTTTAAATATGTTCCTATATAAACATTTTTTACCTGTGATTCTCATAAATTACAGTTTCAATTGCGAAACATTTCACATAAGTTTTTTTTTAATTTTTTTTTTTATCTTTTTCCTCTGCCCTTTACTTCATTTTTCTCCCTTTTGTCTTTATTTCTTTCATCCTTTCTTTTTTCTTCCTTTTTTCCCCAATAATTTGTTTAACCGTTGTTTTAAATTAGTCACACGCAGTTGTCTAACTTAAAGAAAAAAGAAAAAAAAAAACTCCATTTTTTGGGTTCCCTTGATAAGGAAGGGAACAAATTGTTATACACACCAAGGCCATCTCCAACCCATTATTCTATTTTGAGTTGCTCTATCTTCAAAATAAATTCAAATCATCCAAGAAATTCATCTCCAACTCATTTACTCTAATTTTGTACTCTAAAAAGAATATTCAATATACATTCCTTTTTCTATTTCTTATTTACTAATTCCCAACGATCAATATATTTCACCAATCATGCATGTGTGTACTATTAAAATATTAATAGAATAAAATAATTTATAATTTAAACAACTCGTAAAAATTAATAAATTAATATTATTAATTAAACATGAATTTAATTAATTAATGTAACACGAATTTACTGGTAAAAATATTTAAATTAACCAAAAAAATTAAAAATAAATACCGGGATACAAAGGAAGAATTTTAATTTTTTGTGCAAAAAGAAAGAAATTTTCATCAAAATTATGAACTTGGGGTAAAATTTTGGAATTAGAAAAATACACATGGGCTTTTATTTTAATTAAGCACAACAACGTTGGGTGAACAGTACCGCGTCATATATGACGCGATACTGCTCACCAGCACTAACCCTCTGCACAAAATACCTCCTCCTGCCCAGCGCTATTTAAGCATTGAGTGAGATGGCCTAAGCACGTCGAACTAATATCTTTAAATAATAATAATAATAATAATTTCTTAGGTAAGCCTCTCTATTGATAGTATCAGTTGCTAGCCGCTTGATCTAATAAAAATCACATTTAATTAAAATAATATATATAATAAATAATTTTTAATATAAATCTTATAGAGAATTATCGATAGTTTATTTTTTTTACCATATTAGAGAAACACACATCAATAAAATAAAATAAAAAATTTGTGAGAGAAAAAGTAGGACATATTACGCGTTTTTCCCCCGAACTATAGGTATTACCACAAAATGCCCCATAAACTTTAAATTTAGCTTTTTTTCCCTAAACTTTAGCAACTCTTACAAATTTTTTCCCTCTGTTAAATTCTTACTTCTGTTATTGTTGTTGGCCGACAACGTCCAAGATTCATTAGGTCAAGTAAATTAAATAAAGTTGTTGTATTACAAAAAATGATAACTTGTACTGCGTAATTTTACTTCTGTGTGACTAAATAAAGATGAACTAACAGAATACTTGTGTACCAAAAATGATTCAACAATACTCATTATTTGTATGATACGTTATTTCTATGAACAATTTTAACATAAAGAGTTTTTTTATTAGTTTTTACATTTCACGTGATATTTTCCGTAAAAAAATTAGTTGAGGGAGAAAATTTGTAAGAGTTGTAGAAAATCGAGAGAAAAAAAGTTAAAATTAAAATTTTAGAGGCAATAGATCTAGGAAAACATATATAATTTGTCTGAAAAAGAATAATCTCTTCACTATTGCTCATCTCTTTCATACTATGGGCCCGTTTAGTTTTCTAATTCGAGTTGAGACGTGATTTTATGTGAGAATTTTTTACTGTAGTAAAAAAGTTAAATGTGACTGTTTCTGAGAGCTTTTTACTGTAACAAAACTCAAATCGGTGAAATGAACAAAAAATAGCAATTACAATCTGTTACAGTCAGCAACTGACTTTTCTAATAAAAAATAGACACGTGTCTAGTTGTAACATAACCAATTTCGGTTTAATTAATACAAGGCTAACGAATCTTTAGCTCTAACACAGTAACACTCTATGATTGTATTATTACGACAAGAGTTTCCGGTGTAGAAAAAAAATGTAATCCATTATAAATTCAAGGTGATGATTATTGCTTACTGTTTAGCATGGGTAAGCTTTCTTATTTAACAAGCCATCGAAAAGTGACATAGATAAAGGCCTCGTTTATTTTACCGATTCGAGTTTTCAGTTTTAGGTTTCTACAGTAAAAAATTCTCAGAAAATGTCACATCTAATTTTTTTTTTTGCTACAGTGAAAGCTCTCTGAAAATGTCACATCTCAACTTAAATTGAAAATTTAAATCCGCGAAGTGAACAAGGCCAAAATTTATGACATGTTAGACACCTTCAATTACAGGCCAAAAGTTATACGACGTACTGCTTTACTATTTTAAATACTACAGTCGACAAGCCAAATATAAAAATAAACATTTGGTAGATTAACTTATATAAACCTTATCCTTATCACATTGTTTAAGATAGCCTTATTTGTTTATTTGTTTATTTTTTTTTATGATGAAAATTAAAGAGATTCCCATTACATAATCCATACGAAAGGACAAACTCTTTAGTCATTGCATCGAAAATGACTCAAACTTTAAACTTATATAAATAAATTAAATATCAAATAAGACGTCTTCACCACTATGTCACCACTACTAGTGGTCTCAAATAACCTCAGTTGAGCACTAAGGTTAAATTGATATATTTTATAATTATTAAGTTCTGTTGTAACTCTTGTTATATTAAAACCTCATATAATTCATCTTTTAAGGTTAGATTGACATATTTTATAATTATAATTATAGATAGTCATAATATCAATCGCAATGATTTTAACTGTGAGAATGTTTAGATTTTCTTTCCTAACATTTAGATTTCATTGATTTTGTGCTTTCAATCTTTTGGCCAACTGGTTGAACTTTCACGGCCATGCAAGAAGCATGAGAAACCTCTAGGTTGTGGAGTAGCATGAAGGAGTTTTGGCGGCAACTTCACGGACTCTTAGGCGTTCATTTCACCGATTTGAGTTTTGTTATAGTAAAAAACTTTCAGAAACAGTTACATTTAATTTTTTTATTACAGTAAAAAGCTCTCACTCAAAATCACATCTCAACTCGAATTAGCGAACTAAATGGTCCCTTAGTTTGATAGTCTTGTTATTTTCACAATTCAAGTTCTATTGCTACAATGTTTTCTCTTAAAAAAATTTAAATTTGACTTTTTATTACAATATTTTTCTCTCTCACACACAATTCAAATTCTTAACTTGAGTTGTTAAGGCCTCATTCATTTCACCGATTCGAGTTTTCAGTTTTAGGTTAATTTAGAGCACAATTACTATTTTAATCATGCCCCCTAATTTTTTAGTCTAATTTACATACAATATATTTAAAAAAAATAAATCTTTTTCACTCCCAATGACAAAATTAATGATGGATGTTCTATAATTAAAAGTTCAAATTTAAATTAGTTTTAAATTCATATTAAATTTTAAACCATAGAGTTACCAAAATACTCCTAAAATAAATTAAATGTCAATTTCTATTAAAAATTTAACGGTTGAAGTTTTTTTATTAACATTTTATTATCTAAAAAGAACATATTTTACATTTTAAACATCAGAAGGTAAAGTGTTACAAAAATTATAATTTAGAGAAAATTTTTGTAATTAATCTTTATTTTTAAATATAAAAATGACATAACAACTCTATAAAGCCGCAACTTCTCAGACACTTGAGGTGGACCCCATACCCTTGTGGGATTCACATGCGGCTCAATAGCTTGCGGAGTTGTACGGAGACGTTTGGTTCATGGATTAGAACCATGTGATTAGAATCATTTTTGATTTACGTGTATTTTTTATGAGAGAAAATACTGTAGCGAACTACGAACTATGATTCGAATCAGGGAACGAATCTAGGTACCAAACAACCTCTTAGTAATGCTCTTTTTAAATATGCTTCATTAAACTATATGCTACATTTTTCCTTTTTACAATTTTTCAACTAAAATAATCTCTTAAAAATGTCCCTGAATCAATATCTTTCTCGTGCATCATTTTTAGTTAATTTTTTCAAATGTGTCCGTATTTATTAATTGTTTAGTTCCGATTCGAATTATGATTTATAGTTCGCTACAGTATTTTTTAAATATTTTATTATCTAATTTTATCATTAATTTTTATAATTAGGTCTAACGAACACAAGTTACTACTTTTCAGCTAGTAACAGTACTACATGTGAAAGCCTTTTGTTGCGCATTGAAACTAACTTGAGGGCTTGTTCTTTTGTACTTAAGTTTAAAAAAAAGTTGAACTCAAATTATAATTTTATTTATATTTATATTTTTTTTATAAAATTTGAATTTAAATTTGAGTTTGGGGTTAAAATTTGAGCTCAAGTTCTCCATTTAACTCAAGTTTTTAAACTCAAACTCAAATTAATAAATAATATTTTTTTATTTTTAAAAACGCTATAACTATTTCGTTTTAATTCCGATTGAAATGATTTTTTTTTTGCGTTCACAACGAAAAGATAAATAAATTCCTACCCATATATCATATTAAAATTTTTCATCACTATTGAGTTTTTATTAAAATAATATTTAAATATAAATTTAAATTTTAATCTATTCAAATATAAATTCAAATTTTTATTTTATTTTAAATAATAATTTAAATATACATAATTAAATTAAAATTAAAATTAAAATTATAACTTTAATTAAAATTATAATTTAAATTTAACTCAAAATCTATATTTAAGTCACTGTAAGTCAAAAATCCAAATGAACCAGCTCTGAAGCTTCCTTTCCTACTTCCTAGTATAAGAATAAGGCAAGCCACCTCCCACCCTTTTCTACTAATACTTTTCACTCCAATCGCATCGCAAAAGCCCTAAAGGCTAAAGCTAATTATCTTTCAAATCTTCAATACCAAAATCCCGCCGTAGAAACTTCTCGTTTTCCCTCAAATAGCAAATCACAACCCACAGATCTACGTCCCTCATTCCATTTTTCCCATTTAGTAAACCCAAAAAGAAAATTTGATTTTCCCATTTGCGAATGTAAATTGACAAAATTATTCGTCAATTCCAAATATATTTTTTTGTTGGTTTGGTTTTTCATCGTTTGATCCGCTCCGAATTAATGGGATTCTCGTACGATCCATCCGCGGAGAATTCTCTTTCCTCGTTCTTCTTCGTTGTCAACTTCGCAGAAGCTTCTCTCGGATTCTGAGCGAAGAAACCTCGGATTCGGATTCGGAAAGTGTTTTCTTTGGGATTTGTGTGTGTTGATTTCTGTTTCTTCTTCTCCAAAATCGAGGCAAAGATGAGGGTGGCTAAGTCCCAGGTATGGCAGCCTTGTAAGAAGAAGAGGTCTTGATAGTCAAGGGAAGGTTCTGGAGAGAGAGAGAGATAGAGAGAGAAAGAGGAATCTAAGGAAGGAAGGAAAGGTGTTGAAGAGATAGAGAGAGAAAGAGGAAGAGGACGGAGATGTCGTCGTCGAGCTCGAGGGCGGGCGGCAGCACCAGGACGCGCGTGGGGAGGTACGAGCTAGGTCGGACCCTGGGAGAGGGGAATTTCGCCAAGGTCAAGTTCGCTCGCAACATCGAGACCGGAGAGAACGTCGCGATCAAGATTCTCGACAAGGACAAACTTCTCAAGCACAAGATGATCGGCCAGGTACTTTTTTTTTTTTCCTTTTTCGATTTTTAGTTTTTGCTGTGTTTGTTTTGATCTTTGTACTGATCGGATGATTAGATTTGGGCGAATTAGTTTGTGTGTGGACTGAGTCTGTTACGTTTTTTGTTAGCATTTGATGGGATGCTAGCTGTTTGGTCGCCGAGAAAGTGCAGGAAAATTGAGGACGACCACTTGGTGTCTTGGTCGTTGTTTTTTCTTTTCTTTATCGTATAAGAGTGACGAAGAAAAAGTCAACTTTGAAAGGCTGGAAAGATATTTAGTTTTTTTAGCAGGAAACAATAGGAAAAAGCTCTCTTTCCTAGTCTTCTCTTCTGTACTAACTAGAATTAATGAATTATGTCCGATAGATTCGCCGTAGAAATTCAGAATTTAATATCAAATTGCTGGATAATGTATTTATTATCCCAATATTGTTTGGTAGCCGAGAAAGAAATGGAAAATGACTTGTTTGGTATATTAAATATTTGGAACTAAGAATGAAGTCAACTTGAGAACAGTAAATTGGAGGAATTAATTTCTTCATTTTTTTTTTCGGACACAGACTCTACAAACGTTATTCATTGAATCATTATACATTTGTCTCCTTATAATGGACTAGATTTGCCATTATTCATTGACGATCACCTGTTTGTTAACTGAGAATGTAATGGAAAAATTGAGGACGTTCACTATTATTATTTTTTTCCCCCTCAATGAAAGAATGAGGACAAAGTCAACTTTGAAACAGTAATGTGCAGAACTCGAACTTTTGTCATTGTTTTATATCGAGAGACTGTACACATTCTTCTTTATTATTCTTCTGTTTATGTTGGTTAGAACTTTGTTGGATAGATTGACTGAATTAGTCCACTTGAGTATAATAATACTAATTCAAATTTGTCTAACTAGGTTTTTATTTTCCTATCCACTTCTTAGAAAACTAGAGAGATTTGAAAGAATGAAAGAAGAATTTTCTGGAAAAATACTTTTGTATTACTTCACCTATAATCAGCATAATAAGGTATAGATACTGACCTCTGTAAACTACTACCTCCAATCATGCCCTTGGAATAACCAATCTAATCAAAGTAACTAACAATACAAGTGGGCTGCTGATAAGCCTAACTTGCGTTTCACGTACGTGAGGCGTAAGAATAAAAAATGATGCTTGCGGATTCAGGGAACGGATGGGTGCAGGGATTGGTGTCTGAGCTGGCAAATCCAAGTCAGCTGATTGGTTAAGAGGTTGAGAAAGTGACTTCTGGTTTTCTTTGGGATTGTTTGGCTTCCAAATTCCTCAGAACTGCCTAATGTGTAATTAGGTAGCTAAAGCCTTAACCAACTGACTAAACACCATTGTTGTCGCCTCTAATGAGTTCATTTAACTTCATGCTAATGGTTGGATGCAGCAATCCTGCGTTGCTAACACATCAAAATTTTGTTCTTCTTCTGCAGATCAAACGTGAAATATCAACGATGAAGCTAATTAGGCATCCAAACGTCATCCGCATGTATGAGGTTAGACAACAAATCATAGTACATGTACAAATACACTTAAATGTGTTCGGGACATGCTTCTTATAGTGATATCATATTGAGTTATACTACTATAGCTGGTTGGAGAAAACAATAACCCAGGGGAGTTATGGTGATATGGTAGAATCTATTATGGAGCCAATGTTAGTGGTAGATGTGAGAAACTGGTGATGGCAATTTTATTTTTCTTTTCCCGGAGTTTCTTAAGAATTTAAATTTCTGAGTTAAAAGTAAACCGTCTTTTCAGTTTCTATTCTAATGTCTGTTGATTTAGCAATCCATCCTTTTAATTTGTTAAAATTGCTTTGCTTTTTTTTTTTTTTTTTTCTCTCCCAATACGTGTACAACAAAACAACATCATGTCAGAATGCAACCTTAAGGTATAACTTATGCACTGCTGATGTTATGTTCTTGCCATATATTTGGAGTTCTCTTATTAATTTGGATTGTTTTAATTTTCATTTTTTGGAATTTTTAGCGAATTCCTCCAATATTCTTAATGTAGGTAATGGCTAGCAAGACAAAGATATACATTGTTATGGAATTTGTTACCGGAGGAGAGCTGTTCGAACAAATTGTAAGATTGTGGTTTCACTAGTTCTCCTTCTGTCTGTCTCTATAACAAACACCGGCCAGTTGATAATTCATTACCTTTATTATCCAAGTTATCTTAATTCAGCGCTCTTTTTCTTGAGCCAGGCAAGTAAAGGAAGATTTAAAGAAGATGAAGCAAGAAAGTATTTTCAGCAGCTTATATGTGCCGTGGATTATTGTCATAGCAGAGGTGTTTTTCATAGAGACCTAAAGGTGTAGCTTCTCATGGGAATTTTTATCATTTCATTCATGTGTATTCTTGGTTATTTTAACTGTAAGCAGACAATAAGAACAAGTCTATTAATTATATTGAGATGTCACTATTGTTGTAAATCCCAGCCGGAGAATTTGCTGCTAGATGCTGGTGGCACCCTTAAAGTTTCGGATTTTGGATTGAGTGCACTACCTCAGCAAGTTCGAGTGAGTATGATCAATTCATGGTTCATTGAGAAAGTATTTTAATTGTAATTCCATAAAAATTCAATATCAGTACAGTGGGGTTAGTATTCAATTACTATTTTAAACGTACAATTTTATACCGACTCATTATTTTATTCCTTTACTTTAGGAAGATGGATTACTTCACACTACATGTGGAACACCAAATTATGTCGCTCCTGAGGTATACTAACTTTTCATTCATCATATTGGTAATCCTGTCTTAATATTTCCTTCTTAGCAACATTTTTTCTCACCCAGGTGATCAACAACAAAGGGTATGATGGAGCGAAGGCAGATTTATGGTCATGTGGCGTGATTCTTTATGTTTTAATGGCTGGTTTCCTGCCTTTTGAAGATTCTAACCTCATGGCATTATATAAAAAGGTGACTGATTTTGACACGTTTGTATTTGTAATACTTTAATGTAGAGTAGATAACTTATCATATCACAACAACTGCTCTATTAGGCTATATTATCTATTTTTTCAGCAACAAACATAAAGGTTGCTGTGTTGGGTTTTTCTTGGATTACAGATATTCAAGGCTGAATTCACGTTTCCACCATGGTTCTCCTCAAGTGCAAAAAAACTAATCAAAAGAATCTTGGATCCTAACCCCTTAACGGTATTTGTCCGATGAATTTCTTCCCCCCCACCATTTTAAATCATTGTGATGATCATAGTTTCTTATCAGGGGGAAAAAAAAGTCGGATCATAATCCTATATGTACGATTGTACCCCTTTTTAAAGGGGAGATATTTCCTGCATCCCTTTCAAGCGTATCTGGTATATCATTATTTCTTAATTAAACATTATCTATTGCATGATACAGAGAATTACGGCTGCTGAGATTATTGAGAATGAGTGGTTTAAGAAGGGATATAAGCCGCCGAGATTTGAACAAGCTGATGTTAGCCTTGATGACGTGGATGCTATCTTTAATGAATCTGGGGTAAGGTTCTTGATCGCATTAAGAATTTTTATTATTTCTTCCACACTTTTAGTTCCTGAATTTGCACTTAAAAAGGTTTCTATGGTCACAGGAATCTGGAAACCTTGTCGTGGAGAGGCGAGAAGAAGGGCCTGTGGCGCCTGTCACTATGAATGCCTTTGAATTAATCTCTACATCTCAGGGCCTGAACCTTGGTTCCCTCTTTGAAAAGCAAATGGTAAGGTTGGTTTCTTTTTGCTCTTTAATGCGCTTTCTAATCCGCTTCTTTAAATAAAGGAAAACAAAGATGCTAACTCTAAATGTATATGTACAGGCTATGATATTCCTTATAATCCTGATTATTGGATTTTCTTTTGTTGTTTTAGATTGTTTTTTCAAATCACATAAAATCTGATTCAGCAAAGGAATATTATATGTATCTATGTATGAGTGTATGCATGAATTTCAAGTGTCATGGGTTGATACTTGAGAGAGTTTGCTTGTTCTATAGACCAGTCATACCGGCGTCTGTGTTTGTGAAATTTTGTGGTTAACAGGGGCTTGTCAAACGAGAGACAAGATTCACATCAAAATGTTCTGCCAATGAGATAATCTCTAAAATTGAAGAAGCTGCAGGTCCTCTGGGTTTTGATGTAAAGAAAAATAACTTCAAGGTTTGATGACTCTCTCTTCCTCTTTCCTTCTTTCTGTCTAACCTTGAGTTACCACATTGTATCTTTATCCTTATTGGTTTGTGTATATGAAGCATTTCCTATTGTTTCATGATATTTGAAGCATTGCATCAATCTCTCTCTTTTTCTGATTTCAGTTGAAGCTTCAGGGCGGGAAAAGTGGACGGAAAGGTCATTTATCTGTTGCAACAGAGGTACATCACACACACACACACACACACACACACACACACACACACGCTCCTTTAGTTTTAGTGAATACTTTTATTGAACATTTCCTCTTAAAATTGGTCCAAATTTCTTCTTTTCATGTAATGTAGATTTTTGAGGTGGCCCCTTCACTGTATATGGTTGAAGTCCGAAAGTCTGGCGGCGATACTCTGGAATTTCACAAGGTATTACAATATCAATGTACTCATTTCATCCAAGGATTTGATATTTAATCTTAGGAGAAAGAAGTGGGGCTATTTATTACATACGGATATTAGCATTTTTTCCCCCATGAAGTTGCCGTGATTGTATCTTTGACTGTACAAATGCGTAGTCCTACCGACTAGACCTCGTCACTACTTTGCTTCTTGCTTTAGTTAGTACGACATATTATGGTGAACTAAATTAGCTAACATTTAACTCCTGTCCCTGGAATCCTATTTTGAGATTTAGGTTCTTATACGGTGCAGGCGGGACCAGACCTACGGTTATGCTTTTCCAAGTGTATAAGTGTTAGGAACCCGAAAATCTAAGCTTCATTAACAATACTAAAAATGGAAAATTACAGGATAAATGAGTGGTTTTGAGGCCCAACCACCATTGCTCCAGAATTAGGCCAATTAACGCTGTAATTACGAGATCCAACCCCAAAATTGACTTTGCCCATACCGAAAACACTAGACCCAGCCCACTTCCAAACAGAATTTCGGGAGTCAGCCCAAAAATTGCCGGATTTCGCGTCGGAATTGCACTCCTGGCCATCATCTCGCCGGAGCTAGCCCCAATGGCGTCAAAATCACAAAACCCAGTCTTACGGGCGTCGGAATTCGTGGGTCCCACTCCAATTCCGCCAGAATCTGCCTCCGTAGCATCGGAACCAGCCCCTTTCACGCCGGAATTGCGAGGCCCAGTCCAAACTGGGCCGGAATCAACCCCAACCTTGCCGGAAACAACCTCAACAGTGTCAGAATCATGAGACCCGCTCCAAATTTGGCCGGAATTTTCGAAAGCAACACCAATCTCACCCGGATCAGCCTTAATGGAGTCGGAATTGCGGGACTCCACTACAATCCCGCCGGAATCTGCCTTCGTAGCACCGGCATCAACCCCTTTCACGCCGGAATCGTGAGGTCCTGTCCAAACCGCAGCCAAATCGTCGAGCCCAGCCTCCGCCGTGCCGGAATCTGCGTCCGTAGCACCGGAACCAACCCCTTTCACGCTGGAATCGTGAGGCCTTGTCCAAACCAGAACCAAATCGTCGAGCCCAGCCTCCGCCGTGCCAGAACTCGCAGCAAAATTCCCAGATCTAGCGTCAATCTTACTGGATCTTGAAATATTAGTGCCAATCGCGTTAGTGTTCTCAAATTTCGTCGCAAATCCACCGCCGTTCGCCTCAGATCTGGTCGATCTTGCACTAGATCGCGAAAAATTGCTCAAGTCTTCGACATCATCTTGCGATTCAGGTTCTGGTAGCATTCCCTCCGGCGACGTTCGTTGACGTTGATGCTCCACATCCTGTCGCTTTGGCTCACCTCCAAACAGCGAAGCCCTAAGTTTTTCTTTCAACTCAAATAGCGAAACCTTAGGTTTTGAACTCACAGGCTCACCACTAGAAACCTTGAGATTAGCTCTTAGAGCAGCCCTAAGTTTCTCTCTCAACTCAAAGAGCTCCATGGACCGTAGATGCTCTGATACCATTGTTAGGAATTCATTAACAATACTAAAAATGGAAAATTACAGGATAAATGAGCGGTTTCGAGGACCCCCGACCTCCAAGATAGTGCACCGTACTAGACACTCTCTACAAATCTCATCATCCCCCCTCATTGGCCACTAGACCCTTATTTATACTACTAAAAGACTACTAAAAAACAACAGCTAACTATCAGGTTCCTAACAGTAAGCCTGTCAAAGAAACACATGTATAAATACTTGCATTTTCTTAGCCCAAAAAAAAAAAAAAAAAACATTTAATTGATGAGAAGCAAAAAGACATTCGGTGGTACAGCACATGCTTCTGTCAACAAATAACGTTAGCCATGTTCTGTCAGATAATGTTGGCAGTTTGAAGAAGAAAACATAAATAATTGCAGTTTTCTATGTCGTGGGCAACAGATATCTGTTTTGTAATGTTTTTCGCTCCCTTAAATTCGCAGTTCTACAAGAACTTCTCTACTGGGCTGAAAGATGTTGTCTGGAAAACAGAAGAATAATCAAAGGAGGAAGTAAATAATGGTTAGTACTCACTACTCAGCTAGGTGTTACTCTGTCGAAACTCTTTTGGAGAGTCGAAATCATTCTTCTCATGGTTTTTCATAATAAGTATATTTTTTCGAAAGGCATTCACGTTTAGCTAGCAACATGGTCAGACTAATTAATAGTCCAATGGACGGTAGTCTGAATTGGACTTCAATTTCTAAACAATCTGTTTGATGTTGCAATCTTCCATGTGTTAATAAGAAGCAGCAAATAAAAAACGACATTAACATAAACAGGTGACCTCTTGTGAAATCAGATTGCCATCGAGATGATGCTTGTTACAATCTTTTCACACTTTTTTCTCTTTCCCCTTTGCAGGTGCTCGTGTTGCGTCACCTAAGTAATTGGCTTTGTGATTTGTGTTTTTTCTCTTTCTTGAACAAACTTCAAACATGAAATAGTGCAAAAATATGTATGGATTGCATCGTATATTGTTTGTGGCATTGGAAACTCAATAAAACTCGGTTGTCTTCTATGATGTTTGTGTTTCTCCTATTCTCAGTTCTCACTGTATACATTCACCTGTCTTTTGGTCTAATATTCATGTGATAAGTGCTGCTAGTTCGTTATTATCTGTTAATCTAAATAAATTTTTCGAAGTCTTGGCTCTTGAAGACTCTGATCTGACCACCAATGCCTTCTTCAATAGTTCTTATCCAATCAATTTTAGATATGGATAGTCTAACATGCTCTCTCTCTCTCCCCATGCTCGAACATAACAAGATTACAACTATGACAAATTTTGAAGTTAAATACTCAGAAACATTTCTCAAGTGAGATGGTTTGACTCATCATTTGAAAGAAGGAGAGCCGTAGGTGAAGATGGTTCTTTTCCCTTTAATTGAACACTGATAGATGAAGTACAAAAAGTGGTTAGAACAAATGCTTCTCTCTAGTTTGTACTAAAATCCCTAACAAAAATACTACTTTGCACCTTAGCGTTAATCTATACATGCACTTCTATTATTTCCCACCTTAACAAAATTACTATTATGCACCTTAACGTTGATCTACCACACCCAATCTCATTATTTGATTTTGGGATCTTTGTATTTTAACAAAAAGCAACTGATTAAGGGATATTTTTCTTCGAAATGATTAAGGGGTATAAATATTTTTATTGTTTTCAAAAACATGAGTAATACGGCATTTGTAATAAGATAAAGATATTTCACCTAAATAGAGGAGATAATTTAAGTAAGATGAATCTCAGCAGTTAAGAATGAGCTTGGTGTTTTAAAAAGTTTTACAGATCAAGGGATTCAAATCTGTAAATTGTTGTCTAACTAATCATAATGGGACACGTCATTTAATAGATTTAGATATCAAACCAAAGAAAAGTTAGTTAGAAAGATATTTCAATTTTTTTGATGGTGGATGGTGTGGCACAATCTGATTGATTAGATACCATCTTCAATATTGAAATAAACTAGTGACTTGAATCCGTGTATAATCATCGAAACTTTACAGGGGATACTTTATTTCCGAATCCAAAATGAAACAATTTGCAAAGTAAAAAAACTCGGTCAGCATTTGAATCACTCAAAGGTCAGCCTTTAGTGATGATCGTCGCACTCATTGAGACCATCAGAGAAGCCAAAAAGATTGCCGACCGGTGTTTCAAAGCATTCGACAGCAGCATCACAATCGTGATGCTCATCCGTTGCTTCCTCTTCTGGTATAGGCGGGGGCGGAGACGAGAAGTCTAAGCACAATCCCTGAATGACTTGTTCATAGGAAGCATTAGAGAAGTCTTCTTGAGAGGTCAGCTGGTGGTACTCCACAAGTTGGTTGAGGCATTGGTTTTCCCTTATAAGGTTTGCATTCTCATTTGCCAATCTTGATTTCTCAGTCAGCAGTGCCTCCAATTGAAGCCTCACCTGTCCAACAACACCCCCACAATCACAATTTTGACAAAAACGTCAATAATTTGGCCAAAAATTAGGTATGACTAGTGTGCATACAATTTCTCAGTGAAACACGTGGTGCACCATAACTAAAAAAGGTGGGTTCTATCAATGTGTCTCACACTAAGAACCCGCCTTTTACTAGTGTAGTGCTCAGTATCACCTGTGTCTGTTTATCATGCATTTAATGATTGACAATGATTGAAATTTGAGTTATTTTTATCCAAAAATAAAAAATTTCAACCATCCAGATCCATATCAATTATCATTATGCTAGAAAAGGAATCACTTCATATGTCTTTTTTACCAGATCATCTTCCTCGGGTCTTATCCCGAGGAAGATGATCTGGTTAAAAAAATTCAACCATCCAGATCCATATCAATTATCATTATGCTAGAAAAGGAATCACTTCATATATCTTTTTTACCAGATCATCTTCCTCGGGTCTTATCCCCTTAGAGAATCCATCTCTGAGCCTTATGTTCTCCTCCTCCAAGAGTGAGCATCGCTCTTGCATAAAGCATAAATCCGACTTAATTGACTTCAGTTCCCTAGCATGTGAAGCTGCTTTTGTTGCCATAGAAATTGCAAGCTGTTCACGGAAATTAAAAAACAATAAGAAACCATTTATACGTGTAAAAGAAGAGAAATTGAACAAAAGAAGAGTAAAAACAAACAAACAACATTTTTGGCTTTCTTAAGCTTCCCATCTTTTTGGCTCTGCTCTTTCTCTTTCTTTGAGTCTTTTTCTCCTTGATCATCTGAGCAATGGTCGTACTTTCTCTTCAATCCTTTATTGGTCTCTCCTCCTTCATTTTGTTGTTTACCTGAATTCTCTTCTTTACTTTCTGACTCTGACTCTGGTTTCTTCAAACTGTTGTGGAATATTTCTATTAAGGTGGGTGGTTTTGCGAGATCATTAGCTCCCTACGTAGATAGACGAAAGACAGATCTCATAAGTTCAAAAATAAGACTTTTGACTTCTAATTGTTCAGATAATCAAAAAACTTAGTCTCAGTAGGGAATAAATTTGGCACTTAATCATGAATATTTCATATCTGTATGATAATCACTTATTATATATATTGGGAGAATGAGGTAAATAATATTTTTTTTAGTGGAATATTTGGACAAAATATAACTTGTGTCAACTTGTCCTCTCATTTTTCAATTTTCAAATGTGCAACCACAAGCACTCGAAAAAACTAACAATGTCTTTCCATTAATTTTTGAGCACTTTGGTTCAACAAAATGGGGTTGAATCCGGGTCTCTCACTAGGGCGAGCCCCACCTCAAGGTCGAATCCCATTTTTCGGGACTCAACTCCATCAGGTCGAATCCCATTTTTCTATATTTTTCATCCACGGACAGATTGACCAACATTGTTACTTTTCTCAACTTGGCACATTTGTAAGTCTTTGGGACAAGTTGATGCTAATGATAAAGTCCATCGAAATTTTTATAATTTGTCCTAAATATTTTCCTTGGCAAAAAGCAACAAATGTTAATTTTCAACAGAAACTCCAAAACATTTCAAGTTATATAGCTACTGAACCCTTAAAACAACTTTCAAATAAGAAACTTCCCTTAAATCCAATTCATTTCCTTAAAAAAAAAAAAAAAAAAAAAAAAAAACTCAACCTGAAGAGCAGTATCCAAATTGTTAGATAGCTGAAAGAGAGTGTGAGCAACAGAGTCAAACCCTCTTATCAAAAGCAATGCATCTTCCTTCAACCGTTTTGCACGTCCAGAATCTCCAACATTCTACACAAAAGAATTCAATTAAGTACCCAAAACTCAAAAATCTCAGAAACCCATCATCAAATTCAAATTAGAAAGGAGAATCTGACCATATTTAGAGTGCGATCAAGAGTAGGGGTTTTGGAATTTCGCTCCTCGAGAAGCCCGTCAATACGATTTCTGAGAGCGCTCCAGAATCGCTCGTCCGACGAGGGACTGAACAGAGGAGACCCCATTAAGATGCTCGGTGATTCCTGCATATTCATTCGAGAGAGAGAGAGAGGGAGTGTAAGTAACGGCTAGTTTTTAAAGGAGGTTGTGTTGGGACGATGGGGGAGTTAAAATACTTAAATGAAGCCAACGTTCGAAAATCTAATCAAAGAGCAGAGCGGATCTGGTCCACTCATTTCAAGAGTATTGTTAAGATTATAAATTTGACATTGATTTACAAGCCAAAAAGTTTCCAGATTTGATGTATTCAACATTAATGCAGCTCCTGATTGGTGAACCAATTTGTGGTACAGTTTATTACTTTTTTTAAGGCTTTTTTTGCACCGTTACCCCTTGAACTCATCGTACAGTTGCAATTTGCCTTTATGAGCTCCTAATTTTAGAAATTCGCATCTTGGATTTATAAATCTGTAGCAAACTACCCCATTGATAATAATGTAATTTTTTGTTTTTATTTTTATTTTTACAGAAATTGATATGTGCCTCCCTCACGGGCCATTAATTAACGACATGCATGATCATTTTTATCTATTTTAGTTAAAATTTATTTGTGCTAGAATCTTTAAATAAGTTTAATCAAAATAGAAAATTTTGAATTGACTATGTTTTGAATATAAGTTTGGGTTAGCATTGACCAAAAAAAAAAAAGTGATTTTTTTTTATGCTTTAATTGACATATTATGTGTAAATTATATGTCAATTTTTGTCGAAACTTTATACGTTGTTAAAATGGGAGTGGTTTGCAATAGGTGTAAATTTAAGGGATAAATTATTAAAATTAAAAGTTTATATAAAAAATTGGTAATGGTGCAATTCGACCTTTCTTCAGCCATTTCATTAGCAAGCAAAAAAAAAAAAAAAAAAAAAATTCTCTGACCATTTTAAGGCATGTTCTTTTAATAATGCTAGCAACAAAAAGTTATTTAAGGGGGCTTGAACTTAATTAAAATTATAAACTAAATTGATACTATAATAAATAAGGAAAGTATCATAATTTGTTTTTATTAATTGTTTATATTATTATTTTTTTTTGCAATCGATATTTGTTTTCGTTCCTTCCTCCAAATACATACATGAAATTATTAGACCTCTACTTCTCGTGATATTGATGTTGTTCTCGCAGTGTGAACCTTCCAGAAGATTGGTGACTCCAAAGTTGAAAGAGGGCACCATGGCATGTAAAGAATAAATAATTCAATCTGAATCTCACACATCTAAAAACAAAAATAAATATCTATTTATAAAGATATTAGACCGCTCCACTTAACAGATTGATCATTTAAAGATTTGATAATTGAATTAATATTTGATGATATTATCTAAAAATAAAAATAAAAATATATTTATAAAGCATTGGACCGCTACACTTAACTAGTTAATCATTTAAAAGTTTGATGATTAGATTAATATTTGATGGTATGAATTTCTCTTTTTGAAAAAAAAAAAAAACAAGTTAGCGATTCCTAACTAATTGGAATAAAAAACATTGATTATATAATTGAAGAAAGAATAACAAAAGATATGACATGATATTATGTTTTGATAAAATAAACATTTCTTATATAGATATGATAATTGAAAAATAAAGACTTACTCATAGTTTATTTTTCTATGCCATACCGTAAGAATCTCATCACGATTTTGCTTTTTTCTTGGCTTGGATTGACTTTGCTTCTTGTTTTTACTATTATTAATAATAAGCTTGGAGTGAAGAGTTTAGTGTAGGATGTGTTATCATCAGGGTACCAAATTAGTTAAGATATTATGGGCAACTTTGATATCGGTTATTTTTTTGTCATTATTTTTTTAAAGTCATAATCAAAATATAACTTAATAAAATTCGAATTTAGTTTAGCATGTTGTGTTTAATACATGCCTGTTTAGTTTGTTAATTCGAGTTGAGATATGATTTTATGTTAAATTTTTTTTACTGTAATAAAAAAGTTAAATGTGACTGTTTCTAAGAGTATTTTACTATAATAAAATTTAAATCGGTGAAATGAACCGGTACATGTAGTTTTTTTTGGGTACCACATGAAATAATCATATCATTGTCTTATTTTTTTTTAATGATTGTTTTTATTATTTTCAATAATCATGCCATTGAATCTGATTAAACAATTTGATAATCCAAATTCATCTGTGACTTTTCAGTCAACAGAAGTCTATCCGTTACATGCTTTTTGAATTTTAATCAAACTATTTTAATTGCTTTTAAATTATTAAAAAGAAAAAAAGATAAATATATAGTCAAACTTACATCATGTCACTTTTTAGTCTTATCAATCTCCAACTTTATAGGTCTTGGATGTTTCGTTGTTATGTTGATGGAGCCTAATCTCGTTGGAACCCAAAAAAGAAAAAAAAAAGTTGTTGGTCGTTGCGTGTTGAATCTTTAAATTTTTATTTCACATTTTAAGAATTATCACATTAAATTTTTTTAAAAATAAGTTAGAATAAATATTTATCTCTATTGATGCAATCTTAATTTCTAATAAATTTTTTTAAGAGCCCGTTTGGTTCATGGATTAGAACTATTTTTGATTTATGTGTGTTTTTTGTGAGAAAATACTGTAGCAAACTATGAACCATGATTCGAATAAGAGAACGAATCCTCCAACCAAACGGGCTCTAAGACAACGAACACGTCGAGTTATTATCTTCCTTAATTAAATCACCAAATTTTTAACTGGATGTTCGGTCGAATGATTTGACGTATTGGGGATCATAACTTAAGTTTCTATATATACTGTCGCATTAAGCTCCCATTAAACCTAATTAGGTCAACATTAAGTATCTACCCATTTAGTCCATACCCAGTTAAGAGACTATTTGAGCTCTCCATAATTAGACCACTTAATTAGCCCAATTAATTAAATAACGTAAATATAATTGTTATAAATATGTGGCCCACAATTATTATTAAGAAACGTAATTTTCTAACAATCTTCCACTTGGGCTACATATGATTTCTGAAACAATTATATCATACATTATTCCTTAGGCGCATAACTGTATGCTATTTATCCTTAGTCTCCACTTAAGGTACAATCCAGTCCATCTCTTATATTGGCATGAGATCATGGCGGCTTTCGTCACTTTTAAAATGCAACTAAACCTTCCATGGTCACCATACAAACATATTCAATGACATAGATCGAGTATGGATGAGTGGCATGAAAATTACATGTAATGTGATCTCCAACATGCCTTATTTTTAACTAGTCCTACTTTATTCTTTATGAGATCAGTATGTAATTTTCAAAACATAATGCAAAAATTACAAACATAAAATTAACACATTTAGAGAGAAAAACTATAAAATTATAAATCAATCTCATTTATTCTGTAAAAAATAAACAAATAAATGTTTAAGTCATAGAACATCCAAAATCAACTCTCACTAAACCATAGTATCCTCAAATAAAATAACACTCATATGAGCAGTGTGCTCGTGAAAGGCCTTGAGCGTTAAGCCTTTGGTTAGCGGATCCACAAGCATGGAGTTTGTCCTTATGTGTTCTATCAAAATCTGACCCTTCTGAACTCGTTCTTTAACAACCAGAAACTTGATATCAATATGCTTTGATTTCGTAGAGCTTTTGTTGTTATTGGAATATAGCACTGTCGATTTGTTGTCACATAATATCTTTAATGACCTTTCAATACCATTAACCACACGCAGCCCTTGTGACAAAGTTTTGCAGCCACATCCCATGATTAGATGCCTCATAACAGGCTATGAACTCTGCAGCCATGGTAGAAGAAGGTATGAGTGTTTGCTTGGCACTCTTTCAGGAAATAGCTCCTCCTGCCAACATGTAAGCATAGCCTGACGTGGATCGCTTACTGTCTTGGCATCCATCAAAATCAGAATCAGAATCAGTATACCCGATGATCTCTAAGCTGTTTGATCTCTGATAGGTGAGCATGTAATCATTTGTTCTCTTTAAATATCGTATAACCCGTTTGGCTGCTTACCAATGATCCACTCCTGGGTTACTTAAGTATCTGCCCAATACTCCCATTATGAATGCTATAACGGGATGAGTACAAACTTGAGCGTACATTAGACTTCCTACTGCGGATGCATAAGGAATCTTTTTCATTTCTTTTATCTCAAGTTCATTCTTGGGGCACTGATTGAGACTAAACTTGTCTCCTCTAGCTACGGGCATATCTCCTGATGTACAATTCTTCATGCCAAATCTGTCGAGAACCTTTTCGATATAACCCTTTTGTGATAACCCATGGATACCTCGAGAGCGATCTCGTAGTATTTGTATTCCTAATACAAAAGAGGCGTCACCAAGATCTTTCATCTCAAAATTCTTAGTGAGAAATTTCTTGGTTTTGTACAATAAGCCTATATCACTGCTGGCAAGTAATATGTCATCGACATATAAAAATCAGGAAGATGAATTTACTCCCACTGAACTTGTGATATACACAATCATCAACCACATTCACCTTAAACCATAATAGGTGATAGCTTGATGAAGTTTACTCCCATTGACGGGAAGCCTCCATAGATGGACTTCTTTAACTTGCAGACCATAGACTTTGAATCTCCAGATACAAAGTTTTCTGGCTGAACCATATAAATCATCTCATCAATGTCGCCATTGAGAAACGTTGTATTAACATCCATCTGATGTAGCTCTAAGTCTAAATGAGCCACGAGTGCCATAACTATCCTGAAAGAGTCTTTCCGAAGAAACTGGAGAGAAAGTCTCTTTATAGTCTATGCCTTCCTTTTGAGTGAATCCTTTGGCAACTATACAGGCCATATATCTTTCGATGTTACCTTTCGAATCCCTTTTGGTCTTAAAGATCCATTTACAACCAATGAGTTTCGTTCCTTTAGGCAACTTAACAAGATCCCAAACGTCATTGTCTTTCATGGATTTCATCTAATCCTTCATGGCATAAATCCACTTTTGAGCATTAGAACTTTGTAAAGCTTGTTGGAAGTTGATAGGATCATCTTCCCCTAAGCCTACAACATCTTCATGTTCTTGGAGGAAGACGATATAATCATTTGGAATCGCA